TTGCATGGAGCAGCATATATATGTGAATGAACAAAATTCTGGCTCCTTTAAAGAAAAACTAATAATAGATAATATTATTGAGTACATCTTCAGGCACTATACTAAATGGCTTATATGGAATAACCCCTTTATTTTTCAATAATTTCCAATGGAATGGATATTGTCCCCATTTTGCAGCCAGGGAGACTAAGGATCAGAGAGATAGTTTCTCATCCAAAGTCAGCCGTAAGTAGAAGTGACAGCTGGGAATCAAATGGAAGCAGTCTGACCTGGTTCTTTAACAGCTACACTAATATGTGCTTGTCCTTAATCCCCCTATTTGGGGGCTATTTTGAGATCTATGTAGGTGCATCCAACGGTGGCCTTGGGCTAAACAGCACACACTGTGATGTCTCTGGTGCCTGCCCACCTGGGTCTCAGCATCCCTTGGCCACTCTCCTCAAATCCCCTGGTATTCTCCACTGTCAATCACTGAGCTGTCATGGTGTTGAGTTGAAACCAATGTCCTCCCCTGTTCCTGTCCTCTGCCTTCAATACTCGTATTGGTAGGTTCCTGAAAGGCCTTCAGGATGTCAGGGATGAAGGCATGAGGACCAGCTGGTAGAGTGTCAAACCCCAGGTCATTCAGCAGGGTGTTGCTCAGTCCTGGGAGTGACGGGGTGAGGGGCTGTCCCTGGCCCAGTGCACATGCAGGCAGCCTGGTGTGCCCCTGAGCTGCACCAGGCGTGTGAGGTATCAGCTGCTCAAGCTAATGGGCTCATTTTCTCTTGCCAGGTGGTTTCATCAGTTTCAATGGCTCCTGGAGAGTCCAGGGAATCCTGGCTATGTCTCGGTCGCTGGGGGATTATCCACTGAAAAACCTCAACGTTGTCATTCCTGACCCAGATATCCTGACCTTTGACCTGGACAAGCTCCAGCCTGAATTCATGATCTTGGCATCCGATGGCCTCTGGGATGCTTTCAGCAATGAAGAAGCTGTTCGATTCATCAAGGAGCGTTTGGATGAACCTCACTTTGGGGCCAAGAGCATAGTTTTACAGTCATTTTACAGAGGCTGCCCTGACAACATAACAGTCATGGTGGTGAAGTTTAGGAATAGCAGCAAAACAGAAGAGCAGTGAATCCTTCTGGGGTCTCTGCTGCCCTAGATTAAAGGACTTTCAACACGTGGTCTCTTTTAGTATAGTGAAAGGTGTGGGAGTTGTAATTAGGATCATCCATCCCAGATATGGAATTCCCCCCTCCCTGGTGGTCTTAAGTCCACACTCAGTGGGGAACAGAGGGTGCTCTTGGCCAACGCAGTTGACAGGCTGGAAAGTGGTTTCTTCGTGTTTTCCTGACTTGCTTATCCAATGTCCGAAGTGTATAAATAGCTGTAGAATCATGTGTAGGAAGTGAATGGCACACACACCTTGTAGTCTCCCTTTTAAGATTCTTTTCAAGATCCTGCCTAGGGTCCTCCAGGCATCAGCCATTGTGTCCTCCCAGCACTGCAAGAGACAGGCTGCCATGTCCGCTGTGAGTGGTGACGTGCCCTCCGCAGAGAGGCGGGGCTGGCCTAAGGAAGCAGGGGGTGGTGAGAGGTCAGGGGCAGCCGCCTACACGGAGAAATAACCCTTTTCCTCACTGCCTTCATTAGTTAAATAGACTTTGTATGCCCCTCCGCCCCCTTTGTGCATCTGTCCTAATCATGCATGACCTTAACCTTTTGCTTAGCCCTTACCATATGCCATAGGCAGCAGTGAATGGCACCAGCAGACACTGTGATTTTTTGTCTAATGTTACCAAGAAACCATGTTAGGGGAAGTGAAAAGGCAAGTCACAATCCCATAATTCCTTCCATGTTTAAGGGTAGCTAGAGGAAAAGTAATGAAGGAGCCACAGTGCCCTTTGGGGACCAGGCTGTTTGCATGGAGTGGGGCGGTGATGTCGCCTCCATCCTGGCAGCTTTTAATCATGTTCTGGGATGCACAGCCTCAAACTGCACGTGTAACTTCTCAGAGTGTGTAGAATGCCCAACTATTTGGAATTTGGTGGAAAATTACTGGAAGCCTTGACAATGAAAAGGTAGCAGCCTTTAACATTTCGTTGCAAATATCCGTCCATGCCAGGTCGCTTTCCCTAGGCAAACACCACTCCAGGGCTGCCTGCAGCCGAGGCCGCCAAGGGACACGGTGCAGGCAGGAGTTCAAGTGTTTACCCAGATTGATAAGCAGCCCAGAGTTATTTTGGGACCTGGCTTGCTGTTCTCTGCTTCCTATCACCAAAGCCTCATTTTTCCCAACCTCAGTGTTATTGAAGTTAATTTGGAGAAATGCTCAGTCATTTGTCTGTGCCCAACCAAGGCAGCTCAGATTAGCTGAACAAGATTTCTGTTGCATCCCAGCCCTGTCTGTCCCAGGGCTTTGTTCTTCCTGAGCAGGCATTTGTTGTTACAGCTTCTTGCAGGCCTCGTTGGCTGGCCACCTCCTACCTGTCGGGCCCCACCTCTGCCCACCCTCAGCTCTGGAGCTTTCCCACAGCCGTTTCCAGGGGAGCTCTGAAGTGACAAGATTGCCTTGAGGCCGCCAGGGACTACCGTCTGTCCCCATTCCTCCAACCACTTACCTTCCTCTGACTGCACTGAGAATTACTAATGATTTCCCAAGAAATTTGCTTACTTTTGTATACTGTATGTTTAAACATTAGAATTAACATTTGGATTGTTGGCTTTTCGCCATAGAATGTTCTAGTACAAAATACCTGCCAGCTTTTTAGATTTAAGCATTGGTGTATTGACCAACACTGGACATTTGGACGTGTGTCTCTGGGGCTGGGGCGGGGAGGAGAGTGTGGAAAACAAATACTGCTTGTTGATGGGTGCTGAGACAGCTCCGGCGGCTCAGCTGGCTTGGAGATTTAGGATGTTCTGACTCTGGAAAGTCACCGCAGCCACCATCGAACTCAAGTCAGGAATCAGCGGGGTCAGCGTTTTACAGTCTAGAGTCAATGTTCTATTTTTTTTGATTTTTTGATTTTGATTTTTAATGACATAAAAATATATAATAACGAGGGAAAGGCATTTTTAAATTCCACAATCATTTTTTATTGTGTAGAATGAAAATAGTCATGTTTTGGTGAGTGTGAAAAAGAAAAGCTACTAAATTAGTGGATTAGTGTTTATGTACCCTGCAAAATTGCTTCGTAGATGATGCCGACCGAGTGCATGAGTTACCTAAGTTTCCCCCTAACTGAGGTTCACAAAGCATCTCCTAAATTTTGCTTTGAGGAATTAATTCATTTCTGACTTTAACCAAATAGAGTGTATATTTCCTACTCCCTTTCTGCCTCTTCTGCCCCACTATAGCTTGTAGGTTTTTAACAGATAGAAGTTCTAGGCAAAATAGTGGTAGTTTGATTAGTGGTTATGCTAGTTATATCTAAATCAGAGTATTTTGTCCCCTTCTCCCATGTCCTGGAGCTATCCCCTGACTCTTTTCCAGTTGTCTGGGTCTGCCTACGCCCATCCCCCCAGGGTGCCCCATGATTCACTGGCTGCTCCCCTTCTCTAAAGCCCTGGGAAGGTTGGATCTACCCATTAGGGAAATTGATTTGAGAAGTTTGCATGTGAAGCTTCCCCAAACTGCACTGCCAAAGCTTTGGAATCATCACTCAAGACTGTCCAGACTCCCCAGCTTGCCAGAGTTCAAATTGCCAATAGTCCCCATGGTGCCAAATTTTGGGATGGTTTTACAGTCTTTTAGAAAAGGAGCTGGGAACAGCCATGTACTTAGGAGCCCCCAGCAAGATGCCAGGCCCTGGTCCTCACGAGT